ACTGCAAAGTGATTATAAATTATTTCAGAAGCTAATTTAGGGCAGAGCATGGGGAAGTTGCAACAGCCAGTTGCTAGCCAGCCTGAACGCAAAAGCAATGGCTAACATCTGGGCAGCGGTGTGCACCCTTTTAATCCTAGCACTCTGGAGGCAGAGACAGACAGATCTCTGAGTTTGAGGCCAGTCTGATCTATAGAGGGAGTTCCATGACAGCCAGGGCCACAGAGTGAAATCCTGTCTAGAAAAAAAAAACAAAACCAAAACAAAACAACAACAAAAAAGGCAACGACTTTAACAGCTCTCCTGGCTGACCACATTTAAAACAGGAGTTTAAAAACAAAACAGGATACTCTAATAGCAGTCATCAGTGCACAGAGAAAAAATGTTTTAAAGAGCCCATCAATTATTGTTTTGCTAATTGGGAAGAATATTTTTTCCTGTGAAATGAACCAAAGAGTTGTGTGAAACCAGAATCCCCAGAGATCTATAATGAAAAAGATGAGGTGAACGAAATTTTAATGGAAGTCGAGAGAAGTGTCCTTATCATTGCTGTTTTCAAACTCTCAGACATAATCAACCCATTGGCTGCTAGTTGATGCTCTATTATATTTTTTAACTTGTCATCCTCTTGCCTCAGCTTCCAAAGTGTTAGGATTACAGATGGCTGCCACCATGTCCAACCAGAACTTTCCAACCTCAAAAATATTTTCACACTTGTGTGATGTACTACAAGCTAGTGAGTTCCTAGTGGTTTTTCCGCTGCACTAAGAGCCTCTCAATTTCACTAGTTATTTTTGATACTAAGCATTCTTCAATCTGCTATGGTGAGCAGGTTTTCACACAAGGACTCCTGGGGCTAAGGATGTACTTGCTTTGTGTACAGGATGCCCCAGCCTTGATCCTCAGCGCCACACAAGTGAAAGTAAAATTGCAAAGATTTCCATGGTCTTTGACGCTTAGTCCTTGTAAAGGCTGGGCATAGAACCCAGGCCTTTACACAGGATCACTCAAGTATTCTGAGCAAACCCCTAACCTGACAATGGTTTCCACATGGGAAAACTGCACAGTGGGTTGTAGGTGGAATTGGTTACTCTTGAATGTTGGTCTGCTGTTCTAGTGAGTTGAAGTGTTTCATCTTCTGGTACGACCTCTCCTTCTTGTGAGCATTTGTTGTTATCATTAAAAAGTGAAGTACCACACTCTCATGACCTAAGCAACAGTGTGAAATCACAGACTATGCCTGAATTCAGGGCACACATTTGTATCAGAATTAAATGGTTTTTAAAAGAACAGTTTTCTATCCCTTTAGGTACCTTAAAAATATATTATTCTTAATTAATATTCACTTATATTTTAGTTCCTCTTGGAGGTAGGTGGGATACACAAATAATTTTATAAATATATATATATATATATATATATATATATATTGTCATTATTCTAGTTGTAAGTTTTACATAGAGAAGTATTTCTCAATTATATGTTTATATACTTATTTAATATCAAACATGTTCTTTTGAATAGTTTATTATTCAAGTAATGTTTTTCTTCTGTTAGAAAAATAATTACATTTATTACAGGAAATTCAGAAAATGAAGAATGGAAACTATTTATTGAGTTGTATTCCCAAGGGCCTGTGGACCCTCTGAGACATTCCCCCAGACCCACATGATATCGCCCCTCTTTTTCGTTTTACCCAGCATGCCACATATCTAGTATACATTCTCTGCCTGCCTTTTCACAGGTTCCAATGTTTGACTATTTCAAAGTGATATTTTTCTTCAATGAAAATGTTCTTGTTTTCATAGTTAATGCTCCAGACACTCAGAACGGACATCACAGTATGTAGTATCAAGTTTCTGAGAATCATTTCTGGTGACCTTTCTTATTCAGTAAGATTCCTCTGTTCATTATTTAGATTGTAAGGAGATTATAATCAAGACTATAACCAAGTGATTTGCTGTGTTGTAAAAACAAGAAGACAATGAAGCCACACATTAAAATAAAATTCTGCCATACCTACCCTGCCTCATGGAAGTTGTGATATATAGTTTAGAAAATAAACATTTTAAAATTCACAGAAACTTCAAAGCCCTGGTCAGACATAAATTTCAATCAGTTTTTCTGTAACAGTAAAAATCCAAAGGTCTCTCATTCACCAACTCTCAGGATGTGTTACAGGTACACAGTCTCTGCACACAGAAGGCAAAACACATCTATTTCAGCCTCAGTGTATATTTTAAAATAAATTACCCCAGGAAACAAAATGTTGAATACATTGTATTCAACTATGATCCAACAAAGGCAGCAAAACCTTCTCTTCCCTTCAGAGAGCCAGCATCGTATTAGGTGAGAACTTGAAATACTCAAGAGACTTGAAAGCCACAGAGTTATCACATGGTTCCCTAGAGTTAGAGGGCAGCACTCCACCTTCATCATGACAGCGCAGCTCTTATGCCTTGCTTTTGCTTGGGAGTTTCAAATGTAGGAAGAGTTCTTTACTTACCATTCTGGGAAAGATGAAATTTATCATCGTATCATAAATACCCTGGAAAGCAAAGAAAATATTATTATTTATTATACCTTCATCTACAGAGGTCCTGACTGTCAAGTGACTGCATCAGCAGCAAATCAAAACGACACAGCTCACAGGGCCAAGCGCTCTTGAACACAGATGACTCGGGACAGGGCTGCCTCGGGATTGAGTGCTTATGATGATGAGCACTTTCAGATGCATAATGAGGCATTTTATTTTCTCAAAATAAGTGCTATAGGGTTGAGAGAATATAGTTGATATGTATTTTTTTCACTCTACCATTTCGCTCAGTTGCATGAAAATAGAGGTGACAGAGATACTTAAAATTCTTTAAGGGAAAAGTTGGGGTATATTCCAGTTTCCCTCAATGAACATAATGACCATTCTTTCTGTTCAACCATAAATAAAGTATCTAACTGAGAACTCAAATGTAGAACCTGAGAAATGAAAAGTGAAGTCCCATGTTCTTTTCAGTTGCTTGCTGCTTTCTATTGATTAACCTTAAAGTCCTCAGTATATCGCAGGATAAAAATTAGAGCAAATTTATATTCTGTAAAGCACCCCCAAACACATGTATCCCCTGAAACACTAGAGGTCAAACTCAGGACCTTGCATGCCAGGCAAGTGCTTTGCCCATGAGTATGTTTCCAGCCCACATGTTGGGTCTCAAATTTACTATGTTCTTTGAAGTTCCTAATAAACATTTACTTTCAGTTTTTTGCATTTAATACAAAATAATTTCTCTTTGTGTTAATAGATATAACATATCAGAATATGAGAAAATATGCTATCACATCCTGATGAGGCTAGTAAATTTTGTTTCTTGTCTTTTTTAAGTATCATAAACATATTTTAAGGGAAATATATCATGTTTCTTCTGTCTTTTGAAATTACACAGTGGCTAAGGGGAACGGAAGTGACCTCAGAAGAATAAAGGGAATTTGTTAGAATATGCTGGAGACCCATACTTCAGATCCTAAACTGTTTATCTAGAGAAGCAGTCACTGTATCAAAACTATTCTTAATGTACATTTAAAATGGCTTTTCCTTAAATCATAATCTTTCTGTAAAAAAGAACTAAGATTTCAAATGTAGATTCTACTGTTTATAGTTTTAAAAGACTATTGGCTGGAAAATAAAATTAGATTTGATAGGTGTCTGTCTGATTAATATTTTCACAAACACACTCCTTTTTGTCTTTATTGTAAACATTGTATGAGAACTGTTTTGGGTTCATAGAACCTCTGCTTCCTTAATTATTGTTTTACATTTTATGCTTCACAAGATGTCTGTTTCTATTAGGTATTTTATTTTTTAAAAAAAAACATTTGGATTCTGTCACAACTCACAAATTTTCCTGATAAAAATATTCCTTAAAAAAAAAAATCTTGCCACATGCCAGACTTTGTTGACTCCCCAAGGCAGACCTTACCCCCTCTGAGGAGTGGATGGGGGGTGGAGGGTGAGAGGAGGGGAGAGCTGGAGCAGGGGAGGGAGGGGGAAACTGTGGTTGGTATGCAAAATGAAAAAAATTAAATAAAAAAATCTTACCATTTGTATCCAATCATTAGTGTTCATAATCCAATTCAAAATTTCTATTTATTGGGTTGTTCACTGAAAACTTTCAACATCCCCCAAACTTATATTTAGAAAGGTATTATTGCATTATATGTGTTTATTATTCACACAGGATTATTAGTGGAAGTTTTTTATATCACTACTCATATTTATAGTTTCTAAACTGCTATTTTTAAAGCATTTTTAGGCATAAGCTCCTGAAGAGGGCAGCACGCTCTAGATATCATTAAATTCTAAGCTCGCATGTGACAGCTTTGGGTTTACTGCACTTTTTATTTTTTGGAACTAGAAGGGAGAAACTGGGTCTATTTCATAGATATCTGCTCCCACGATACAATGAACCAGAGGAAATTCTAAGCAGTTGCCCACCAAGGTCAAAACTGCATTTGATTATTCAAAAAGAACATTCAAATCAGCTACCCACGGCAATGTGTTTAGGGAAGGGACAACAAAATGCTAGTGAGGAGAATTTGCGTTTGGAATATGTTTTATCTTAGTGCTGTGGGTAACTTCTCCTATTGGCAAAGTGTTCACTGTCAAGCCTACTAAAGGGTTAGATTTAATTATCTCACTTCTTGCACATTTCATCTCAATTGCTATGGCAACATTCACTTGCCTCAGCAGCAATGCACACTTTAATCAGATGCTTCCTCCCTGTTTTTCTATGAGCCCAAACTGTATAGTCAAATTTACAACCAAGTCCTGATGAATCTGATAACACGACTTACAGTTTAACGGGTGTCTGGCCTTCACCCACACATACAAATATTCCCAGAGAGGTTTAAAGCTGTAAGACAACTGTAGGACTTGATGTTTGAACTTTCATACTCAGTTGATTTATTTTATTTTACTATCACTGACCCTTTTTATTCTTCTCTTTTACTAGTCTGTAGTCTCTAGCCTGTCACCACTCTGGAGAAGGAAAGGATAAGAAGAAGGAACAGTTTCCAGCATTCAAATGTCAACCCTCCTTAAGAGCCTGATGGATTATTTACCTCCTATTGGAATACAGTTTGGATTGCCATGTCAAAGAGCCCTCCTTTATTTCTTGAATACCAGTACGTGAGGAAAGGAGATAATTAAAGACAGTACAATCTGATACAGGATGCAAAATGCAGATTCAAATAGATAGCTAAACATGAAAAAACTTCAGGCACGTTCCAGGTAGTGTGATGGTCTTAATGAGAAGGAACAGCACAACGTATTAAGCTGTGTGTTTTACTTGGATGACTGTGTACCAGCAACATTGTCGTGCAAATCACTGGCATTTTACAGTCATATTTTAGCATGCTTTTTCAATTGCCACTTAGTAGTGACTAGTAAAACTTCTGTAAGTGGAGGCAGCCAAAAAGATGCTTGCTGTAGCTGAGTTCCCCAAATCTGAAGTTTGAACACCAGTTTCTAATGGCATCTTACATATTACAGATGACTACAGCAGTCAAAACTTGAACATAAAAGACTATTTAAAAATTGTTCTTATGTACTTTTAGCTTTAATTGAGTTCCATATTAGCAGGTTATCAAAATGTCATTATTGAGAAATTGAATTCTCATTAATGATAAAGTTCAGAAGCTAGATAACCCCAGGAGAAGCTAAAGGAAGAGCAGGTGTTAATTACAAAGAGAAACCTATAGGTCAAGATAAGTGCAGATGCTGTCTTCAGATATTTGAAAGACTTCTTATGTAGGGCACATGGAGAGTGTCTGGCACACTGACAAATGGGAGAGCCAGAGAAGTGGACTGCAGCTCTGTAGAGAGAAAAATCTAAAACAATGAGCACTGCTTAAATAATACTCTAAGCCATAAAACACTACGTTCCCTGTCTAGGCATTTTCCAGAACTATTCACATGTGAACTCAATTTTCTCTTGCTTGAATTCTGGGAGAACATTTTAGGAAACATGTTAGAGCCACTCCAGGCCTTAAGATCAGGAGATATAATGAGTCACTTCTTAGTGGATTTTTCTGTATGTCTAGGAAACCTAGCCATGACGCTCAAATAGCACACTCAACTGCACACTGAAAATCCTGGGCTGGACAAACAGGGACTTAGTGGAGAGTTCTCAAAAGCCTCCAAGGCGACATGCAAATTGGTTCAAAGTGGCTTCCTTTCAAGAACCTTTGGAGTCACCAGGGGATGAGGAGAGGTGAAGATTGAATTCTCCTTTTGGTCTTGGCTTTTCCAGCTGGGGTGCTATCACATGTGGCCTCTCCTACTGCTTACGTTAGACTTCCTCTCTGGATGAAAGGAAAATTTTTGGCACGATCCTCAAACTCTACGTTCACTTAAGAAACAATAATTGCTCAATTAAGAGAAGCAGGAGCTTTTCTTCTCTGTCCAAAGAAATTAAAAGATGAAGAGAAAATTACGCATCTCATGGGAATGCTCATCTTCGACATGATTGCTGACTAAGATAAAGGGGAGTTGTAGCTAATTTAGAGATTATAAATATAAAGAAGTTGCTGATTCTTGACTCAAAATAATGTCTACTTTTCATGTAACATTAGATCTGCAAAGTTCCAGTTTATATTAGTTGTAAGTAATATTTCCATTAAGTTTGGGTTTGAAGTTTCCTAGGGTAGCCCATCTTCAAATCATACTAATGGAAGGGGCTCTGGGAAGGTCTTGTGTAACATGTAACCTTAATGTGCTGTGCTGTGCTGGAGTGGGTGACCTCTGAAGAATGGCTGTCCACCAGATGTATGGCATGTTACCTACAGAGCTGATCTTGCAACTGCCAGGAAGTTAACTTTTATTTTTACTATAAAAAAATACAGACTGCTGTATACTTATTAATTATTTACCTCCTTTGTCCTTCCCGTCCATTCTCATCAAACCTTTGCATTAGGGTGTCCTGGTGAAATTTCTCCTACTGGGATGTTGTTACCAAATGGCCCTGAAACTTGCCTACAAAAGGCTCACCCATAAAAGCTTTTACAAGCCAACCCCATTTGGTTGGCTGTGATCCAGCTGTCTCTGCTGAACACAAACATCAGCTAAAGAGAAGCAAAAACTTCCATGGCACCCTGGAGGAACTTTTTGATTCCCCAAATGTCACCACGAACTCACGAATATTTCCTTGTGTCACGAAGACCCGGAGAAAAGGACTGCATCTGTGCAATGCTTGTTCCCATTTGCAAACCTGGTCCCCAACCCCAGACCAAAGACTGTCTTCAATTAACAAGTATTTATTTGATGCCTATCACATCTAAACTTTAAGGATCCAGAAAAGGACAGACAGGAGCTGATTTTAATGGTGACATTTGTTACACGAAAGAAGAATGATGTATTGCTTGCGTATTATAAAACTGAAGATACTCTAGGAGACAACATTAACATAAAAATGAAAATTCAGTGTCTTTTGTTTTTTCTCTGTTTCATATCACAAAATCTTTTCATGTAATTCAACAATGTTACCTCACTGAAGTAGTTTCAACAACAAGAGAAAAGCATAAGTTTTGTGACATCGTCCAATGTGGCACCCTCCCATCTCCCATGTAGACCTCTTGCCTATAAAATGTTAAGGCCTCTATGATGCATCAGAGCCCTGATGGTGAGCTGACTGAACATAGGAAAAGCCTGGACTGGGTTTGCAATGTGCACTGTGCAGCAGTACTGATAATAATAAACATTTAGAAAGTGTTCATTCAATGCATAATGAATGAGTAGTTACTAAAACGAATGCAATGGTGTGGCCCAAATCCAAGAAGTGTTTAGCAAGAACAGTGTCATTTGAAATGATCTTAATTTCATGAAGTTATGGGGCTTTTCACTGGCAGGAGAGATTTGAATAGTGGGTGGAAGGAGGCAGAATTAAGAGCATCAGCAGATTGCTTAGGATACCTCCAAATTAGTGAAAAGATGTAATTCTGCAGATGGAGGATTGAACTCAAAACCTTGTGCATGCTATATGGTGGCTCTACCACTGAGCTATGCCGTCAACTCAGTTTCTCCTTGATGAGGCTACAAGTTTGTGGTTTTGTGTGGTTTAGATGAAAAAATATTGGAGAAAACTGTCTCTCAAAGACAATTTCAATCTGCAACCCTCCCCACCTAGTTAAAATGAAGACTAATTTAGTAGGTTTGCATTAGGAATGCGACCACCCACTTTTAGCAAGTTCCCAGGTGGCCTTAGCGCTGATGCCACACTTGGAATGGGAATACTATGGAGATGCTGAAAGCTAGGCAGCATCCTTCAGACTTGAGAATGACTCTGCCTTGTCTATCAGTCAAGATGAAAACCATGCTCCCAGGAGATAAGTCTGCTAACCCCAGAAAAGCCCCTGAGGAAGAGGGGATGTGAATACAGGAGATCCAGCTGGGAGACTGTCTCTGCTTCTACTGCAGTGTTCAGTTTGGTGGCCAGCTCCTGCTGATACACTGGCTTGAATATTCGGTCAGTTTGAAAGCAGGCTCTCAGTGGAGTGACTGTGGACCTAGTGACTTTGAAAACAAGTGAAGTTTAGGGGGAAACATGGGAATCCATAAATGCTTTTTCTCTTGCTCTCTACCTAGAAAAATGCATCCTTTCCTAAAAAATGCTGAGACATTACCTCTTCTGTTTCTGCCCTATGTAGCTGTAATTACGTCCTTCTATGCATTGCTCAAATTCTGAAACCACTATATCATAACGATGACAATAATAACAATTAGCAAGATGGTGCAACTGTGTTTTGAATGCTCGTTAGTACTGTGAGGCAAATTGCTAAAAAAAAATTTATAATTAAATCTATGTACCGATACTGTGAAAAATGTGGCTAAAAATTGTCTTCATTTATACAGATGAGTATAAAAATAAAGGGAAACTTGTTTGTGAATTTTGTGCCTGGTACATACTAAGCAAATATATTTATCAGAAAAGTGATCAAATGTATTCTACCACATCACAGATTCCTTGTGCATTTTTTACTTGACTTTTTTTTTTCTTTTTTGCTTTGTTGCTTATCTCCAGTAATTATAACTATGACTAACAATTAGTGTTTCCTGTGCCTTGGGTACCACAGTAAGCAATATGAATGTGTTGTTCATTTAATGCTCATAATAATTCTATAATTTAAGGTGTTATTATTATATATGAGGGAAATGAGGCGTAAAGAGGCTAAATAATATGTCTAAGTTTCTATATCTGTAGCAGGAGAGTTAGGACCCATTAAATTGTGTTACTGACAATCATCCAACCTATCTTTAAAAATGTAGACTTGTGGCTGATTTTTAAAATAAACAGCTTCAAACCACAGTACTAATGAAAAGATAATTTCAGGGGCCAACAAGATGTTGGTAAAGCACTTGGTGTGTAAACCTCATCCTGAGTTTGAGTCCTCTGACCCACGAAAAGATGGAAGGAGGCTGCTAACACCACAAAACCCTCCTATGACTGCCAAACATGTGTGTCCCCAGGTACATACATGCTACACCCAAACAATAACAGTGAATAGGTGTTTAAGTTCTTTTTTCTCACATGTTAGGAAAATGTCCATGAAGGTTAAGGAGACTTCCTGTTATCTTCTGGGTCCTATGGGCACACCACCATAACCTCTAGCTAACCCTGCAGTAGAGTCTTTTCTAAGAACTGTCAAATAGTCCAGGTCTTTGTAGTCCTTACATCTCTCTAGCTATCTCCAAATCCCTGTCAAGGCAACTCATTCCAGAACAGAATAAAGAGTATTCCCCAACATGGAATGGCATATTGAAAAGATAGTCTCCTTTATGAATTTTTGCCTTAAGTGAAAGACAATCTCTCTGATACTTTGGTAGTAACAGGAACCTTCTAAGTATCACACACAGAACTCAGCTTAACCTGATTTTTAAAAGTGTCTCTTTTTTTATAGTGTTTTCCCACATACATGCCTGTGAACCACATGTGTGCCTAGTGTCCACACAGGCTGTGCACGCTGTGAAAGGGCATCAGATCCCCTACAGATTGTTGTGAGCCACTGTGTGGGTGCTGGGAGCTGAACTCAGGTTCTCTGAAAGAACAGCCAGTGCCCTTAACTACTGAGCCATCTCCCAGGCCTTTTAATCTAAAATTTTAAGATGTAAATCCAAGCTGGCAAACTAGATTTCTAAGTCTCTGAAACTGTGGTTTTTTTGTGTGTGTTTTTGGTTTTTGGTGTTTTGGTTTTTTTGGTTTGACTTTAAGGAAGATTGCTCTCTGTAAGCATATCATCACACTGCTGAGCCCAGGAGCTTAACCGGATTGTTCAACCTTGCTCCATGAGTTCACATGTTCTAATTTTGGCTGCGTTTGTCTCACAGCCAAGCACTGGTACCACTGAATATAGTGAGTGACACTTTCAGCTCTACCATAGGCTCCTTCTTCCTGGCTTGTGTGTGCTACAGTTCACTTGAAAAATTTATACAGCCAAGGAACCTCTTATTTACCAGGTCCCGTGTTATTTGTCATGCTACAAGGGTGTTGGTGTGACACTGTACTGTCCAGACTGGCTCTGAATTCCAGGCTTAGGCAATTCTGTTCCCACAGTTCCCCAAGTGCTGGGATTACAGGCATGAGCCATCTCACCGGGTATGGATTTAACACTTCTCAAGAGTGTGAATTTTTTTGTAAGATGCTTGTTGTTTGGGGGGTTGTCTTTAATTTTTTATTTTACATTTATTTATGCATTGTCCGCTGGGGCATGCATATCATAGAGTTCATACCAACTGCAGAAGAAAACTGGATGGGGTAGTTCTGGTCTTCTACCATGTGGGTATCAGGGATCGAACTCAGGTCATCAGGCTTGGTGGCAAGCTCCTTTAGCAGCTGACCCCTCTCATCAGGCCTTATTTTTAGGTTCTCCTTTTGCTTTCTCATCAAATTCAGTTTGTTTCGTTTTGGTGGGAATTTGTGACAGTGAGTCATTGCTCTAGATCCTATCAGGTGGCACGTTACTCGTGATAGTAACATTTATCCTGTGATTAAAGCATTGACTGTAAAATGACTCCTTTCTTATTTTATGAGTATTTTCAGAGCAGTCCATTAAGTTGTATTTATTTATGATAGCATGAACTCATGGATGTTTATTTCATTTAATGAATTATAATCTGCTGCGCCAGAACATTCCAATCCTCCTGAATGAGAAGCCACTCCCCAAGAAGCTGTCATCACATAACTGAAGATAGTGAGGCAGAGGGATTAGGATTCCGGAGTTCAACTCTTCATGTGGGGACTTATTGACAGAGTATATGGGGCAGCAAGATCAGGTGGTTGTTGACATTTGGGTCACAAGGAGGCACATATATATTGTTTTGGACAAACTTGATTTCATTTAAGTCAGAACGTGCTTGGTTTATCTTAAGCTAAAAGTCCCATTAGAGTCAGGTCAATTTCTAGCACCAGAGTGAAGCTGTGAAGGTCCCCACACAAGCCTAGTAATGGCCTCATCTACTTGCCGTTCACCATGAAACCGTGAGGAACAAAACTGACTAGGGTTACCCTCGGGTAGTCATGGTGGCTATCCTTCATGGTGGGTGCAACTGTGTCAAGTTGAATCTGTATATCTCTTATTGTTGTTACACATTTGGATCTCCAAATCATCTCAGATATGGTCACAGTAATTATTTTTAATCTGACTTTTTTCTGTAACATGTTTCTGGCACTATGCAAGAACATCTGTGCTTTTATATAAGAAGATATTCTAGGCTAGGTTTTTTTTTTCCCTTGGTTTTTCAAGACAGGGTTTCTCTGTGTAACTCTGGCTGTCCTGGAACTCACTTTATAGACCAGGTTGGCCTTGAACTCACAGATATCTTCCTTGCTCTTCCTCTTGAATGCTGGAATTAAAGGCATGCACCACTTTTACCTGGTGTATTTTATTTTTTCATGCCACATTCCAGTATCAGATCTTTCTCCAAGGATTCTCCATGTTTTTCTGTTAAGAATGGTGGCTAGAAACCAAGATGTGGGAGGAAATTGTGCCCAGTGTGCAAGGGCAGTTATCTTAGGACCCAGAAATAAGGGATGCATGGTATAAAAAACATCTATCTATCTATCCACATACTCAGATCTACATTTATTTCTTATGTGTTTCTGAAACATTGAGAATTTTAGTTCCAAACTAGTCTTATGGGGGCCTACATGGCCTCTATTTTCATTGTCATTGCTACTTTCTCTGACAATGGAGTCCGTCTTCCATTATGTTTCACGTAGTTCCTTATTTGGCCAATCACCTTGAGTTGAGGCAACTTATCTTTTGCTACTGAACACTCCCACCCCCACCACAATGGTCCCTTCACCCTATCAGAAGTTAAGAGTCCCCTCAGATTCTGGATCCCATCCCATACCATCTACGGATGCCTACCTTCCTATTGTCCCACACCACCTATGGATGCCTACCTTCCTACTGTCCCACACCACCTATAAATGCCTACCTTCCTACTGTCCCACACCACCTGTGGATTCCTACCTTCCTACTGTCCCACACCACCTGTGGATGCCTACCTTCCTACTGTCCCACACCACCTGTGGATGCCTACCTTCCTACTGTCCCACACCACCTGTGGATGCCTACCTTCCTACTGTCCCACACCACCTGTGGATGCCTACCTTCCTATTGTCCCACACCACCTGTGGATGCCTACCTTCCTACTGTCCCACACCACCTGTGGATGCCTACCTTCCTACTGTCCCACACCACCTGTGGATGCCTACCTTCCTATTGTCCCACACCACCTGTGGATGCCTACCTTCCTACTGTCCCACACCACCTGTGGATGCCTACCTTCCTATTGTCCCTCACCACCTACGGCTGCCTACCTTCCTACTGTCCCACACCACCTATAAATGCCTACCTTCCTACTGTCCCACACCATCTACAAATGCCTACCTTCCTACTGTCCCACACCACCTGTGGATGCCTACCTTCCTACTGTCCCACACCACCTATAAATGCCTACCTTCCTACTGTCCCACACCACCTGTGGATGCCTACCTTCCTACTGTCCCACACCACCTACAAATGCCTACCTTCCTATTGTCCCACACCACCTATAAATGCCTACCTTCCTACTGTCCCACACCACCTGCGGATGCCTATGCTATTTTCCCATTTCCATCTCCTGAGTTAGGGCTGACTTGTTCAAGACAGAAATGGGGATGAACAGAAGGTAAGGGGAAAGGGAAAGGAAGATGAAAAAAAGAGAATAAAGACCAAGACATATTTTTAAAATCAATTCTCCACAATGTGAATTCTAAAGTTATGACAAATTATTATATTCAATTGAAAATTTTCTTTTTTAATCTGAGACACTAAAAACAAAATAACTCTCTTTTAACTAGACTTCACATATGTGACTGATGTTTATTGAGTGCCTACTCTGTAGCAGTATAATAAATTTTAGTAAAAATCCAATTAATTGCAGTTATCAATTAATCAATGTATTTTACTTACTGACTTTTCAGGGAAATTGGCCAATTATAAGAAACCACATTGAGACTGACGATTTATTCAAAATAAGGTCACTCCTGAAGTTGGCATGGATTTTGCTCTAATTCTTGTGACATATTATTCTATGTAATGAGAAATCATAGAATTATGAAGCTTGGAAAGAATATTAACTCAATCACAATTGGAACATTATGGGCTGACTGTGGATGTCTTAGAATCTTTACAACAAATACAGCTTTATACTGTTAAGATAAAACATTTTATCCCCCAAACATGTAGATTATAGCTTATTCATTTAATGAATATGAAATACTTATCTATTTCAAATGCTGATCAAGAAAATTGAATTCTACCTGGGCATGGTGGGTTGTAGCTGTCATTCAAGCACTTGGAGGTGGAGGCAGAAGGATCAAGAGTTCAAGATCAGCCTCAACTACAATTGAGTTTAGAGCAGCTTGGGTGATCTGGAACATTGTCTTAAAGAAAATCTACTAAGACAAATGATGAGGTTACTGCCTCATAATGGGGAAAGACAACAAATGGAATTCTATAATGTTAAAAGTGCTAAAAAGCAGGGCTGTAGAGATGGCTCAGTGGTTAGTAGCACATGACTGAGTTTGACTCCTAGTTCATGTTGTGTGGCTCACAACTGCCTGCAACTCAAGATCCCAGGTTCTGATACCTCTGTCTTCCATGGATACCTGTACTGACATGTAATACCCCCACATGAAAACAAACATGTGTACATAATTGAAAATAAATTTTTAAAATGGGTAATGCAGTGCTGGAGAGAAGGTTCAGCAGTTAAAAGCACTGGCTGCTCTTCCAGAGGACCTGAGTTCAATTCCCAGCAACCACATGGTGGCTCACAACCATCTACAGTGGGATGTGATGCCCTCTTCTGGCATGCAGGTATGCATGCAGATAGAATACTCATACACATAAAATAAATAAATAAATCTTAAAAAATGAATAATACTAAGAAAAGACGAAGAAGGTCTAGGGAATAGAGCATGAAGAAATGAAGGAGGAGCTGTTTTAGAAAGGTGGTCAGTTTAATTTGGTTTTCTTGTAATCATTACTCTCACAAGAGTTTCTACTAAAAAAAAATAAATGATCATATTTATTTGTTGTATTCCTTTAATATACTTGGGTCATTTTTTGAGGCAAACTGGCAGCTGTCAAAACCATACTGTGGGCCAGAGACATGTCTCATTGCTGGAGAATTTACTGTTCTATCAGAGGACTGGAGTTTGAATCACGGCACCCATATTAGGTAGCTCACAGGCAACTACAATTCTAGCTACAAAGGACCCGACAACACACAGACCTGCACACACACACATCACATGCACACAAGCACACATACAACACACAAATACAATAAGTCTGAAAAATACCATGTGAAGGCACGGCAGCTAGCAATCAAAATGGAAAACTGAAGAAAGAAGAGTGAGAAGAAGTGCACTGGGCAAGCAGTCTGCACGGATTCACAGCTTTGAAAAAGAGATTTTTGTATTGCTTGTTTATTGATGTAAAATTTCTTTATTTAAAGAAACATTTTGTGGTAGTTAAGTTCTGAATCGAGCTGCTGGGAGCTCATCTGTCTTGGAAGAAGATAGACAAACAAAAACATAATGAATGAAAAAGAAAGAAACCCTGCCACTCCTAGACTATTTTTCAGCTGCCTAGGCTTCACTCACTTAAATTCTGTCTTTGTTTCCATAATTTAAGTTTTCGATTTTGTTCAGAAACTTTCTGCTGTTCTTAAGTAAACGTCACATTACTTCTGAGCCTAAAAGTTGTCTGTCAGGACCAACGATAGAGCCATGAATTTAAAGAATTGCTATTGCTACTTAAAAAGTAAGGAAGTGGACATGGCTAAACTCCAGAACAGCTGGGTAAATAGGAGTCATTCATTGTTTCATATATAAAAGAAAATTCATCAGATATAAAATTTTGAGACAGGTCTTGAGCCCCTCTGAATTTTTGATATGAAATTTTGAGACTTAGTCTTCTTTTTGGTGAAGTGTGACAATCTGCCTCTGTCTAAAGTCACCATTTAGAAGCAAGCTCCCCAGACCTAAACATGCACAGTGCTCAGAAGGGGGGGGTCTCTATTCCTTTGAGTTTCTGGATATATACATGTCCTTTTTCTCTTCTCTTTCTCACCACCCCCACCCCCATGTACACACGTGCACACACCCAGCCATATAAATAAAATATTAAAAGAAAAACAATTTTTTAGTCAAACAGACTTTTTATTATTACAATTTCTTTCACTGACCATACTGCACTGTCCCTTTTTGATCCTGCAAAAGCTACAGTAATCCCCTCAAGTGACAACACATTAGGAAAAGAGAGTGGAGACATGGGTACCGTGTTTTCCCCTTTTGCTATGTGTTCCCTAAATAGCATATACAAAAAGAAGCCACATCTTTCGGTTTTTTGTTTGTTTGTTTGCTTCGGTTTTTTTTTTTTTTTTTTTTTTTGAGACAGGGTTTCTCTGTGTGCCTTGGCTGTCTTGGAATTCACTCTGTAGACCAGGCTGGTCTCAATTCACCTGCCTCTACCTTCAGAGTGCTGGGACTAAAGGAGTGCACCACCCACTGCCTAGCCACAGTCACGTCTTAGTAATTTAAAACTTCATGTGTTCAAACATAGAATTTTATAGAAAAAA